CACAGGTGTCGCAGCGGCCCCTTTTCTGGCTCCCTGACACCTGGCTAAGCGGACTTGAGTGAGTACTATTTCTTAATAAAATACCTGTTATCAATCTAAATCTGACTCCACGTTGTGCTCGGCCATAACCACCTCCACCACCACCAACAGCAATAACAACACCTCCTATAGGAAGTTCTGCATTCTGCAGGGTTATTCAGGACTTGGGTTCATTTCCCTTGTTGTTAGTCCTTCTGGGTCAATGGTAACATAGCTGATTATGAAGAAATCAAGACCGTCTTTTAATCAGGTGCAGCTAAGCTTTGTTTTTGTTGCAACTGAGTCTGATTATGGGGTGTCTTAACGAACACATGGCAGAGCAGCTTAAGTCCATTTATGGCCAGAATCTTGATGAGGAAATTGGGGCTTACTGAAAACAGAAATGGCCAGCCCCTTCCCCATCATGAAGAGAAAAGAAATCATGTCTCTACATTTTAAATGCCAACCAACAACTGGTTTTGAAATTGTTATTTAGATGTAGTGGTGGAGGAGACCCTGGGAAGCAGATGTCTCACTCTTCATGAGAGAAATTTTTCACCCTTAGAAAGTGCTCAGGTAGCCCTGAGAAGTTCTGAGGATGAAATTTGCACGCTGCGTTTCCTAAGATTCTGTGCGTGCGGGTGGTGGGTTTTAAATAGCTGGAGCGTCCAATTCGTAGGGCCCCTGGGGGGTTAGGTAATTGCCTGGCAGCTTCTGCGAGTTCTCCTGGCAATGGGCTCAGGAGATTTACTCCTTGAAGAATGCAAGCCGAAGCGATTTCCCAATATTTGCAAATTGGCAAGCTGTGACGTTTTTGGAAAAAGCAGATGGAGTTTAGGGAGAACCCAGAGCCGTGGCTGAATCCCTGCACAGAGGATGCCTGGCGAGTCAATTCTCCATCCAGGCAGTAGATGGCGCTAGCTGCCTTCCCGGGCAGAGCTGCAGCCTCCTTCCCTATCTGCAGGGCTGGCCCTGGAGACTTGACCTAAGAAAAGCCAGAATTGCTTCCTTTGCTTAGGAAGCACGATTGGGGGAGTGTGTTCAGGGATCTGTGGTGTGTTCACGTCTTGATGGCAGCACGTAGGCTGGTCAAAGGTTAAGGCCCAGTGGTGCACTGAGCCCAGTTGCTTCTTGTGAGGAAGGGCTGTTTCTAACATGGAAATATCTCAGCAGCAAAGGGCACCCACCTCACCCCACCAACCCAGATATGTGACACTGCAGCTTGAGCGAATATTTGCCTTTTCTCTTCCTAATAGGTGGGAGGCTCGGAACAGCCAGGGTTCTAGGCATGGGGTCTGTCAGCACAGGATGGCAGAGGCAGGGAGAGCTAGCTATATGGAAAACTCAGCAGGACACTGCTCGCCTCATCTCTGTGTGCTGTGAATGCTGTGTCAGAAGCCAGGTCTCACCCCCCAGATCCCAGCAATGTCTCTATAAAGAAAGAGACAGAAGGAATTGCCCCTGTGAAATCTGAAGTTTTTCTGATAGTGTTGTGTGTCATTATCTACCATTCCTGGTCCATCTCAGGTCTCTGTCCACACACTCTCTTAAAATTCCTGTACTTTATATGACAGGTAACCATGAATTCACATTATCCATAGGAGAAAAATGGTAAAAGTAAGTTATGTTTGCGTTTGAATAAGAATGCATAATATCTGCACTATTAATTAGGCAAAATTAGACAAAGAGGTCTGTTTGGGGACAGAGTAGGGCCTCTGTCCTAGGTTCTGGTTTCAGATAGTTTTCCTACAATCAGTATGAATAATATGTGCATTTATAATTTATACATATAATGTTTATTTAGTCAAGGTCTATCAAGAAAGCCAGAGATATTGTAGGGTTTTCTTTTCCCCTTTTTTTCCCTCCCCCCTTCCTTCCTTCCTTCCTTCCTTCCTTCCTTCCTTCCTTCCTCCTTCCCCCATCTCCCTCCCCTCTCTCTCTTTCCCTCCCTCTCTCTTTCTTTTTTCAGACAGATTCTCTATATGTAGCCTTGGCTGTCCTGGAATATGATTAGGCTGACCTTGAACTCACTTCGGCCTCCAGAGATTACAGGTGTGTACCACACAAGCCACTACTGCAGGTCTCTGAAATACAGGGAATTTAGTAGAGGGAATTGGTTATACAAAGGTGGGCGATCTGAGATGCTAATGAAGGGAGATGAAAGCACCCAGAAATAACAAACACAGGAAACCACACCTGTCCCTAAGGTCGGGGATAATAGGAAGACTGGTACTATTAAAGCTTACCAGGTAAGGCAGTGGTCTCAACCTTCCTAACACTTTCTTTCTTTTTTTTTTTTTTTTTTTTTTTTTTTTTTTTTTTTTT